GTTTCTGTTTGTACATGACAAGAGGCCTTGCCCTTAGAAGGGGATGAAAAAATGGCAGTTGCGTGTTTGATTTCACTGTACAGCACACACCTGCATAGCTTAGTTCTGTGAGTCAGCACTGGAAGGTAAGTGTGCTCACTGCTTGCTTGGACAAGGCCACTAAGTGGCTTTTTATACCCAGGTGTTCAGCTAACATCCACTCAACTTTTTACCCTTTCTCTTAGCCACTTTCAGAATAAGGTTTGAGGCAGAACAGGGAACTTGAGGCTTCTCACTCCTTGACGCTACAACAAGCTTTCCACCAAGAACTGTGCTCATTTCAACTCAAGGTTTCATTGCTTGAAGAGGAAGGATTTTCTTTTTAGCCAAAAGAAGAGATAGCTTTTCTCCAGCACTGCATCTATTTAATACATTTACCCAAGACTCCTTGTTAATAATTAAAAAAAAGGTTCTGATGCAACTTAAAATAGATAATTGTACCCTACAGAGTCAAAGACAAAAAAGTTGTGATTACTAGAGCATTTAGGACCAGCAATTTCAGCCACATTCTGATTAAATGAGAAAATGCAATATGCTATCCAACAGCTGTGGAAGCCTTATCAAAAAACATCTTATCCAACTTTACCTTAGAAAATGTGCTGCTCAGGAGGAGGAGAAAAAAAACCCAAACCAAAACAAAGCATATACTCAACCACTCCAAGGGAGGTGGTGTGCCAGATGTCCATATCTTGTTCTGGCATTACACCACAGTTATACTCAGCTGCAGCTGTTGCTAGTTTGGGCCTGGCCATCTCAGAGACATTTACCAGCTAGTTCTGAGAGACAGAACCAGAACGTCTAGGATAGAGCTTCTATTTATAAATTTGATTTGAAACTGGGCTGCTGTAAGGATATGTGCCATCATCCCTCCCCTCCCACACCTATCCCAACTTTCCTGGTGGTGTGCTTGGGCCTTAGCCGGGGGCTGTGGAGGCAGGTCCAGCAGCTGCAGCCAGCAGCTGCCCACCCCAGCCTCGTAAAGCCGCCCCCTCTGCCTGTGCCCCCTCTGCCTGTCCTGGGCAGACTCGGCCTCTGCTTACTTAGTGCAGAGCTGCTGCAGTTAAATAACGGTGGGGGAGGCTGCCTGCACCCCGGGCTGTCTCCTTTGTTCCTGGGGGGCATCGTCAGAGAGTGCTGGGGACTAACAGGCTGGGTGCAAAATGGGGATTCAGAATTGAGGACTAGCAGGGATTTGTTTGTCAGGCCATAATCCTACAGCTGCTTGGGATGGGGGGGAATCTCAGCATTCGGAAAATCACCTCTTCTCCAGGGACCATTATTTAACCTATTTAAAAGCACAATTTTTAGAAAAGGCCTATCAACATGTTGCTGATGTGATGCTGCACAGTATTTCTTTTCCTATGCAGACATTACAGACCTTGGCTTAGGGGTGGAAGGGGTATTTAAATGTCCTGACAGCTGGCTAAGCCAAACACCTCTGCAACAGAGGGGAGCCTTTGCGGGAAGGATGCTGCATTTACTCCTGTGCTGTGAGTGGGGAGTAGCCCAGCACCAGCCTGTGCCATGTCAGCATAGTCCTCTTCACTCAGCCCAAACCATGAGTAACTGCTCAGCCTATCTGGTACACTGCAACACAGTTCCATGAAGTATAGTCTGAGCAGCCATCATGCCAGCAGCCTGGGAGGTTGTGCACGTAGCCCTGCAGCACAGTGATTCTAAAAAAAAAAAATCTCATACAGGCCATGGCTTAGTGAGCAGGGTAGAAACCTCAGGGCTGGTCAGGAGTGTAACTTGTGTGTTAGCTAAGGGTAATAATCAAGTTATGATGGGCTCATCAGCACTTGTTGAGCACCTGGGGCTGCCCGTGTTTCTGTTGTAGCAAAGACAGCCAGCAAATGATGTTAAAAAGAGACTTTGTAAGACAGATCATTTACTGAATGGGTGTTTAAAAAAAGAAAAAAATGGAGCAACTCAAGCTAAACACTAATGCTCTCAGACCACCCAATCCACCATCTCATCTGGTCTGTGAGTTTCAGATCACTCTCCAGGAGACAGAAACCATTACCCCGTTGCAATTACCTTACTGCCATTGCAGTACTGGGCTGAAAGTCCCCACTCACACCCCCCACCCGTTATACCCACCGTCATCCATCATGTGTCTGAGGCCTCCCAACTCCCAGGGCTGTGGTGTTCCATCGCCATGTTTACTGTCTCCCCAAAACTGCATCCCATCCCAATTTAAGGGCCAAGTCTTGCAAGCTCTAAGTTACAGCTGTAGTGTTATTTTGCTGTAACTCTACCCTTTTTCAGGCCTGTTTTGGAACCAGCCTGTGTGAGGGGATGGGATGGTGGGCAGGACCACAGGACAGGAGCCTTTGGCCTCAGCAGGGTCTGTTCAAGCAATGGCTGTAGCTCACTTGTGTGCTGGGGAGCTGGGAAGGCTCAGGTCATCAGGTCAGGGAGCTGCTGCTGCTTCTCTCCCAGGTGCTTTTTTCTTAAACTCGCTGACTTCTTCATTATTCTTATTAATTTGTTCATAGGAGGGAGATTTGTTGGTCCATTCATGCACACATGGTCCCAACCATCAGCCACTTCACTGGGAACAGAAATCTCATCATTAAAAACCTTATTCAACCCAAAGCCTGACAAAGCTTGTTTTGTCTTCTTAAAAAAAACCCAAACCCACCCTGCATTATTTACTTGTCTCAAATGGAAAGTGGGAGATGGGGGCTTTCTGGTGGTTCCCTGGCTTTGCCATCAAGCAGTGGCAGCTTTTATTATGTATTGATTTTTTTTCCCCTTCCACTTCCTCTCATTCACACACACACACACACACACACACACACACACGCACACACACGCAGAAACACACACATAGACAAGGCCACCCCACCACAGCACCAGCTACAGCTCCCTGCCAGCGAGAAGCCAGCCAGGCATTTGTTACTGCACCACCACGCGCTCTGCCTCAGACTGAACGGACATCGCCAACACGTAGATACTCTGACAAAAAGCTCTAATCACTCTATGACTCTGGCCATAAGGGGTATTTAATAGCACTTGGTTTCAGATAACACTTAACGGTTACAATTGTTGACATTTGGCACTGTCTACATCACAACAGCATTGGGGACTTGGTCACAAGAAGTCAGCGTCCCTGTAACCGTGTAAAACCAGGGGCAGCCCAGCTACCCTAGGCCATGGTTGCGTACCCAGTGCAGGGAGCCTGGAGACACAGCTTGGCTGCTGGGAGCTGCAGTTGCTCCTCTGTTCCCACAGCCTAAACTGGCTTTCCTGGAGCCCCCCTGCTCCTGCAGACGAGCCAGCTCACCTCTCACTGAACCATGCCCGCACACCATGGAAAAAAACCCTCTTGTGGCCTTATAGATGTACTTGGGCCCTTACGGACAGAATTAAGTTTTCTGGGGTACAGAAGATGCATCATCAAGTGAAATACTAACCCCCTCATGATCACACTAACTCATTAAATTTACTTTTAATATAATCACAGTATTAAATGTTAAAAAAAACCCCAATAAACAAAACCAAACAACCAACCCATACTTGTTGATATCAATACATTATTAAATTAAGCAACCGCTCATACATCATCAGCTGATGATGTCCCTACTGTGAAACTGCAGGGTCAAAAAATAGAAAAGAATAAAAGCATCATTAGGCTGAGTTATGCTCCCTGCTGTATAGGTTTTAATACCGATCATACCTGAGAGCACAGTTTTAAAAGGGCCTTTGGCAGCTGCCAGCAAGTGAGCCTGTTCGGTCAGAGAGACTGGTGCAAGAAAGACTCTGGTTCTCCCAGGATTTTGTTCACTTGCTTACCACCAAAACAACAACAACAACAAAAAAAACCCACAACAAAAAAAACCCATCTGCAAATTTAGAGAAACTTTAAAATTTAGTGTTTTTAATACCACACAATTTTCTGTAAGCCTCCTAAAATCTACAGGCATCATTTTAAAAAATAAAAATATCCCCAGACTGACCAGTGTGGATTTTAATTTCAACCGGTTACCGCATCCTTATGTTACTGAGCCATCAGAGCTGCAGATGTCCTGGCTTCTCTCCTGAACAACTGTCTCATACAACAGGTAGAAAAGGTGATGGAACCACCCCATCTTAAATTTCAAATTTTGATCTAAGAGTTTCCTGCAGTCACAGACAGGTTACTTGGGGTAACAAAACACGCTTTCAGTCAGCCAGACGTCTTTTTTTTTTTTTTTTTTTTTTTTTTGTAAGCCTGCAAACAAGTTTCAACTTTAGCAAAAAAATTTTGCCGTTTATCTTTCAGTGAAGGATTTCAGATAGTGCAACATGATCAACTACACAAATGGGCACCTACAGCTCGTCAAACCCCTCTGTGCCCTTCATTTGCTTCTCTACATCTAATACAGGCCCAAGAGGGTTCCCCCTTAAATTAAGATTTTTTTTTCTCTCCTGCTTGTTTTTATTTTTCCTATTCTAAAACCCAGGAATCTCAAGCCTCATTTTTGTTTTACCCAAGAACTTCTATCTGACTGAGACATGTATTGGGTTATCTCAGAACTCACAGAGCTGAATACAGAGTTGACTCCTTAGTGGCAAACTTTTTGCCAAGTATAAACTGAAATTATTTTGTTGTGTATAAAACCCACTTCTATTCTTGATCAGGATTTGCTTCCTTAGTAGCTGGCTTCCTGGCAAGCTTCTAGCCTCAAACAGAGAACCAAAAGGAATGCATCCAGACTCCAATTTATGAAATAAAAAGCAAACAGGACAAAAAAAAAAAAAAGATACAGAACCAACCTTTCAGTCTCTCATACAGCACAAAGAAGACCCTCCCTTTCCCCCTCCCACCTTGCAGGACACATATAAAGAGACAGAGGAGGTGCAGGAGGCTGGGGTCTGAGAAACTGAAATGGGTTGGGACCATCACCTTCCGGCTCCTGACAGCACAGGGAACCAGCCCTTCCTGGGCCATAAAAACTAGGATACTGCACAAGTTTAGAAATCCATCAGTGAACAAGGCTTTACTGACAACTTTTCATACAGTTAAAAAATAAAAATACAGAACAACAGCGGACAGTGTCACATATTAAAAACGAATAAAATGGGCTCTATTTAAATGGTATTAAAATTAATTAGAACTAAAAATCTTACCACTTTGGTCAAGGTGTTTTGAGCCTCCACCAAAATGATCGGCCTTAAAAACAACTGGGTTGTGTGACACACAAAGAAAACATGGAATTTGAAAAGACAGTGTGGGCTAGGCAGTGTCTTTGACTATAACTATCACCATATGTTCTTCTTCTAACTTTCCCAATGTCCTTAGTGCTGACTGGAGGTACTGCTGAGAGAATTCACAAGGAGGGAACGCGTAAAGCATGCCTGTGCTGTCTCTGCCCTTTGCCCCTCCCACGGGCAGGCTGATAACCCCAGCAGCCTGCTTCTGTTTCAAGTAGGAGACCAGATTCCTGAGAAGCCGTCGCTGCAAGCCAGGCTCTACAACAGGGAAGGTCCCCTCAGCCCCTGCCCCTGCCGGGGCGGATTGGGTCGCCAGGAGCACAGCGTAGCCGTTGGGGCTGCCTTGTTTGATACGGCGAGTTACTTCATCCAGCTTGGGCTGGTCGAGCCGAAGTCTCTGAGCGATTTTGAGCTGCGTTAACTTCCCGCCGGATGAATGGTCTTTAAGGAGTCCGTTGATGACACCGAGGTCTCCCTCCAGGATGTGCATAGAGGTGGGGAAGCAGCTGTTTTTTAGCACAAGAAGTCCATTCCAAGCAAGTTGCAGCGTCTGAGCATATTCCGATAAATTCTTTAGCTTTTTGGTCTCAGATTTTGGCTCCTCGTGAGTTTTTGATTCCGATTCACCAGTTCGATGATTGCGTTCGCTGTCCCTTTTTTTAGGCTGGGGAGCATCAGATGCCTCACGATGGGGTTTCTCCTCAGTTGCATGACGATTGTTCTGCAGGGAGTTACTCGGCTCTTTCTCGGCTCCGGATTCTGTAGTGTGATTCTCTTTGCGAGCCCTGTCTGGGCTGCGGTCTAAAGCTGGCCCACTGGCCTTTGTCCTGCTTCTGTCCTCGTAAGGCGAGTGAGTAGTCCTCCCGCGGTCACTGGAAAGACTCCGGCGTTTCCGCCTCTCTTCCCACAGTTTGGGCACGCTGCGATCGCTGTCGCTGGCCCAGCGCTCTCCACTCCGGCTACGCACTGATCGGCTGTAGCTTTCCAAGTTGTTTCGGCGTTCAGCGTTTTTGGCAGGGCTGGCCCAGTCTGCCTCTGCAAAGCTCCTGTCTCTGTCCGAGTACAGGAGATGCGGAGGAGTCCTATCTCGCACCCTCAAGTCTTGCTCTAGGCTTCTGTGTCTGCTGTACCCATCAGCTAGCAGTTCATAGTGCATGGGGAGCGGTGCAGGCTGGTACTGCTGTGGGTATCTTGTTTCTTCTGCTTTGGCAAAATCCACTCGGAGTCTCCTCTCCGGCCCGCCCAAAGGAAAGCCCCTCATCTGGGCGCAGGCAGCCTGGGCAGCATCCAAGCTTTCATACTGGATATAAGCAAAGCTGTCTCCCTTCACGTAGTCAATAGTCCTGATGCTGCCGAAGCGGTCGAACTCTCTCGCCAGGGCAGCCAAGGAAGTACTTGGACCAAGACCACCTACCCAGAGCCTGGTAGTAGGGTTGGCTTTCCCATAGCCAATTTTGATAGGGTTCCTGCCAACAACGCGGCCCGACATGGCGACCTTGGCCCGATGTGCCATGTCCAAGTTTTGGAACTTGAGGAAAGCGTAAGCCCCGCCTTGGCCCCGGGCAGGGCGCTTGATCACCACTTCTTCAATGATGCCATACTTCTCAAAGGCACGTCTCAGCTCCACCTCTGAGACATTGTGGTCCAGGTTGCCAATGAAGAGATTGCGGGTCGCTCTCTGATCGTCCTCCGGCATCAGATCTTCCTCAGCCACAATAGGGTAACTGTAAGGGCGGCCGCGCTCGTCGTACAGCCCATAGTAATCCAGGGCCCTCTCCCGCTCCCGGGAGAGCCCGATGGCAGCTGCTTCCAAAGCGAAGGCAGCGGCGGCAGCGTGAGCGTGCCTGGGCCGCGGCTCCCGCAGCAAGGGGCTGGTGACTGGAGAGAGCGATCTCTGCTTGTACTGGTAGGTGCTGTGGATGGGTGGCAGGTACCCCAGGGGCTCCGGAGAGGGCGCGGGGGGCGGCGTGCGGCTCCTCCGGCCCCCGCGCAGATATACCGGCTCCACCTTGAGGGGCCGATCGTAGAGAAGCAGCTGCCGAGCCCGGGCGTGCCGGCGGGCGTCGCGGGCATCCCCGGGATGTCGGAAGTTGACGTAGGCAACGCGGCCGAGCTCGGGCGTGTGGGAGAGTTTGACACTGATGTCCCCGGCGCCCCCCCCCGCGAAGCGCTGGAAGAGGCGGAACAGGCCGTCCTCCAGCAGCTGGTCGGGCAGGGCCGCGCTCAGCCCGCTCACCAGCAGCGTCTTGTACTCACAGGAGCCGGGCGGCTCCCCGGCCAGGCC